AGCCGCTTTAAGTCTTTCTCTAATTAGTTGAACCTTCTTCAAGGCCTCACAAACAAACTCTGGACCAATCAACGACACCTCTGCTGGTTCAAACCAACCCACTGGAGACCTACATCTTCGCCCATATAACGCTTCATAAGGAGCCATACCAATGCTGGCCTGATAGCTGTTATTGTAAGCAAATTTTATAAGTGGCAAGTGATCATCTCAATTACCTTCAAAATCTATAACACACGCACGCAGCATATCTTCGAGAGTTTGAATGGTCCTTTCTGCCTGGCCATCGGTCTGTGGATGAAAAGCGGTGCTTAAATTGACCTTGGTACCTAATCTTTTCTGAAATGCCTGCCAAAAATGCGTCGTGAACTGAGGGCCTCTGTCAGATATGATTGAAACTGGAGTACCATGCAATCGAACTATTTCTTTGATGTACAACTGCGCATACTGCTCTGCGGAGTCTGTCGTCTTTACTGGTAGGAAATGCGCGGACTTTATCAGTCGGACTACAATAACCCAAATTGAATCATGTTTACGGTATGTGCGAGGTAGACCTACTACGAAATCCATATTAATCATCTCCCACTTCCACTGTGGTATCTCTATATCTTGAGCTAGGCCACCATGCCTCTGATGCTCGGCTTTGACTTGCTAGTAATTTAAACATTTAGCCACATGATCTGCTACTTGTTTCTTCATGCCTTTCCACCAATACAACTCTTTCAAATCTAGATACATTTAGGTAGCACCTGGGTGGATAGAGTACCTCGAACTGTGAGCTTCCTCCATTATGGCCTTCCTAAGACCATCTATATCAGGCACACATAACCGATCATTCAACTTCAAAACTCTGTCATTTCCTAGAGTGAAAGCAGCGATTTCTTTGCTTCTGACTCCTTCTTTTAATTTCACTAAGTACGGATCTTTGTCTTGCTTAGCCTTAACATGCGCAACAAGGGAGGATTGTGCTAAGGCATAAGTAGGTATATCTCCTTCTTCGGTCTCATCCAATCTAATTCCATCATTGGCTAGTTTTTGAATTTCTCGACCCAAAGATCGCCTTTGTACACCAAGATGGGCCAAGACACCTATTGACTTCCTACTAAGTGCATCTGCTACCACATTAGCTTTGCCCGGGTGATAAAGGATATTGATGTCATAATCTTTCAATAGCTCGAGCCACCTTCTTTGTCTCAAATTTAGTTCTTTTTGCTTGAAAATGTACTGGAGGCTTTTGTGATCTGTAAACACTTCAGAATGCTCGCCATAAAGGTAGTGTCGCCATATTTTTAATGCAAACACCACTGCTGCAAGCTCCAAGTCGTGTGTGGGTAGTTCTTTTTATGATTCTTTAACTGTCTGGAAGCATAAGCAATAACTTTTTCATTTTGTATAAGAACACAATCAAGGCCCACTCTGGAGGCATCATAATACACTGTGAACCCACCCGAACCTGTCGGCAACGTTAACATAGGTGCAGTGGTCAACCTCTTCTTTAACTCTTGAAAACTCTGCTCACAAGCATCTGACCATTGGAACTTAACTGCTTTCTGAGTCAACTTAGTTAATAGAGCTGCAAGTGAGGAAAACCCCTCTACAAACCTTCTATAGTAGCCAGCTAACCCCAAGAAGCTCCTGATTTCGATTGACGTTGTCGGCCTAGGCCAGTTCTTGACTACTTCTGTCTTCTGAGGGTCTACTTTTATTCCTTCACTAGATACCACGTGGCCTAAGAATGCTACTGACTGCAACCAGAACTCACATTTTGAAAACTTGGCATAAAGCTCATTCTCCTTCAAGGTCTGCAAGGTTATTCTAAGCTGTTCTGCATGTTCTTCCTTGCTCTTAGAGTATACCAAAATATCGTCTATAAACACGATAATAAAGGTATCCAGGAATAGATTGAAGACTCTGTTCATGAGGTCCATGAATGCAACTGGAGCATTTGTCAACCCGAAGGACATTACTAGAAATTCATAGTGCCCGTAGCGAGTCCAAAAGGCTGTTTTAGATATATATTCTTCTCTGATTCTCAACTGATGGTACCCCAGCCTCAAGTCTATTTTTGAAAAGTACTTTGCACCCTGAAGTTGATCAAATAAATCATCAATTCTTGGCAGTGGGTATTTGTTTTTAATGGTAACTTTATTCAAATGCCAATAGTCGACACACATTCTGAGAGACCCATATTTCTTCTTGACAAACAGGACCGGGGCACCCCACAGTGAAACACTCGGCCTGATGAAACCCTTGTCAAGAAGGTCTTTCAACTGTTCTCGCAACTCATTAAGTTCTGCTGGAGCCATCCTATAAAGATGTATAGATATGGGCTGAGTGCCTGGCATGAGATCAATGCCGAAGTCTATGATTCTTTCGGGAGGAAGTCCGAGAAGGTCATCTGGGAAAACTTCTGAAAATTCTCTAACAACTGGCACAGACTGAAGAGTTGGTGGTTCTAATTCTAGATTAATAATGTGAGCCAAATAGGAGACACCCCTTACCGATCATTCGTTGTTCCTTAAGATAAGAAATAAACTTACCTACAAGTGATGCTGAACTACCCTTCCACTCTAAGACTTCTTCATTTGGAAATTGGAACCTGACTATCTTGGCATGACAATCTAACATGGCATAGCAGGAAGACAACAAGTCCATACCCATGATCACATCAAAATCCACCATTTCTAACTCTATGAGATCGGCTTTGGTGTTGCGACCTTGGACCAAAACTATACAACCTCTATAGACTCTGGTGACTTTCACCGACTCGCCAACTGGAGTAGATACGAGGAACGGCTCACTAAGTTGTTCAGGTTCTAGTCTGAGGTTAATTGCAAAGTATGGAGTCACATATGAAAATGTTGAACCTGGATCCATTATGGCATAAGCATTATGTGAGCAGACTAAAAGTATACTTGTAATAACTTCTGCATATGTTTCTGCACTCTGACGATCAAGTGTAGCAAACAAACGGGGTTGTCCCCTTCCCTGAGTAACTCGGTCTGCACCTTTTCCTGCTCCATGCCCAGTCTGATTATGAGAACCACGAGACTGAGGGGGTGCAACTGCAGTAGCTGAGGAACTAGAAGGACGAGTTGATCCACCACTGAAATTGCATCGCAACATTGGGCAGTTGGCGTTTATATGACCAATGTCTCCACAATGGTAGAAACCATGAAACCTGAACTTGCACTGACCTACATGTTGCCGCTTACATGTTCCACAAAGACTTTGCTGGTGTGAATGTTGCTCAGCATGACTCTGGCTATGTGAGGATGATGTCCTAAAATCTGATTCTGGCGAGACTGATTTCCATAACTCTGAGTACGTCTGAAGGAAGACCCACCACCTGACTGATGACTGAACTGAGCTGGTGCTAATGACTCCTTATTAGAGGAATCTTTTCCACCTCCGCTGGATGTACCATTAAACTTACCCATTGTCTGGGCTTTATTGTTATGCTCTTTCTCTTCTCTCCTTAGTTGTATGTCTTTCTCTAAGTGCTTGGCAAATCCCACAACACAGGAGAAGGCTTCTATCTCTACTGCTGCAGCTGATGTCGTATCCTTAATGTGGTAAGCTAAACTGCTAACAAACATGCGAATCTTTGCTTTTTCAGTCTTCACCATGTGAGGAGCATGCTTAGATAACCTTATGAATTCCATGTAGTACTCTTGCACACTTTTATTCCCTTGCTTGAGCTGTTCGAACTCTGTAGCCTTAGCTTCCCTATCCTCTTCTGGGATAAAGTTAGCCATGAAGCCTCTTCAAATTCTTCCCAAGTAGGCGGACCATCACCTTCATCTCTTTCCCTTTCCCACATCTCAAACCAAGCGCCGGCCACATCTCTAAGTTGGTAAGCAGCTAGCTCCACAACTTCATCATCAAATGCTTTCATCACTCGGAGGGATTTCTTGACACCCTCTAGCCACAACATCGGATCTTCATCAACTATAGAACCATAGAACACTCGAGGACTCAACTTTAAAAATTCATTCACTCTTGAGGACTCAGAATTGCTCTATCTATTTGATTGAGGTGGAATCTCATCTCTTCTCTCGTTCTGGTTGGCCATAAAGGCTTTAAACATCTCCATAGCACTGTTGACAACATTAAACATCTGACCCACCTCGGGAGATATAGTTGCCTGAGTCGGGGCTGCTGTTAGGGGCAGTACTAGATCCTGAGGTACTGGATCATCATGCTCTACCCCTTCTTCTCGTTCAACCTGGGGTATTTGGACTCCCTTTGTGGATTTTCCCCTCCTTTTCTGGGTCGAAGCCTTCTTAGTTCTACCTTGAGACACAATAGTGGCGATAGTTTCTTGAGCAGCATCCTGAGTATCGGTGTCAGAGTTGTGAGTACGAGCCATTTCTGCGAGTTTTGGAGAAACGAATAAATTAGATAATTTCTTAGAGGTAGACTCTATTGCACGATCTAAAGTATGAAAAAAAAGACTTTTCCTAAATGTTTGTAGCCTCATGTTTATAAGTATGACGCGCTTCATACACATAAATAAGACTCTACTAACACAGCTTCATAGACCCCTAGGACTCCATAAACCTGAGGCTCTGATACCAAGTTTGTCACGACTCATATTCTGAACAAGCCAGGACCGGCACTCGATCACTAAACATGACCGAGCGGACCATCTCTGCTTATCAAATCTATTATAACCTCAAAATTTATATGCCACAAGGCACTACTATAACCAAACACTTTTAAATAATTTAAATATCTAAAATAAGCCAACTTCAAAATTTTATTCGTAGTAACCAATAAAATGCTGCTAAGTTATTATCAAAAATTTCTAAATCTTAACTCAACTACTATATCTATGAAGCCTCTACTGATAAACTGACGCACTGCACAAGACATGAGATTTCCTGGCCAGTTCTCTAAGTAACAAAGAAATAACTAAATAAAGATGACTCTAAGGAATACTCCACGAACAAAAGCGGAGCTCACCAATAGCACTGGAGGAGAAGGAAGGCCTAACTCGTAGCCTGCTCGCCTGCAAATCCGGTTCCTACGTTGTACCGCAGACCAACGTAGGTTCCCAAAAGAGAACGTCAGTACCATCCATTGTACTCAGTGAGTCTCAACAACAGGGGGTAAAACTTTAATAACATATACATTATTAGCAAAGGTTCTAAATGCATGTAAAACATAAAGCTTATAAGAATAATTCTAAATAATTGCATAATAGCAGTTTTTGAATATTCTAAAAGAAATTCTTTTCTTTTTCTTTCTTAACAAAAATATACTTCACTTTATACTTTAAGAGTTCCAACTATCTTGACTTAATTCTGTCTCAGTCACCGTGTGATCGGCACGGGTTCGATCCCAACCTGATCGAATAGGCCCAATCCACGAAGTGTCACTCGCTTCATGGTTCTCAGCGCTCATGTCTCATACCTTAGCATGACTAAGTAAATTCTCAGCAACGAGACCCTCGGCTCGTGTGCTCCCTACTTTGGCACAAGTAGTTTCAGAAAGTCAACGCCTTGGTCAGGACCCTAGGCCTGGACGATGACCCCTTCTCAGAATAAAGGATACTCCCAAAAATCTTTTCTTTCTAAAACTTCTTCTTGTGACTTTTCAAGTCTAAATCTTTTATTCATACTCATACTGGTATCCTTAAATGTAAGGCATGTCATAAGAATGAAATAAACATTCAAAAGTATTTACAAAGGTTCTTGATCCATCATGAATTTTCAACATGAAGATGGCATATCAGAATAACATAAAAATCTGAAATTTATGCACATATATCCAAATAATCATCTAAATTTTAGCTAGAAAATAATTCTAAGCTAATAGGCACTTACTAATCCAATTAAGTATATATTAACTCTTTTATGCAATTCATCAAAAACCTTGTGTGCGTGCTTTTGTGAGTTAAACCACTTTAGTAAAGGGTTATATCAACTCACCTCAATACTCCTCGAGCCAATACGTAGACCCCGGTCCAATTTATATTCGTCAAACAATTGATTCTACAACAACCAGTGCATTTTAATTAATTTTAAAGTTTCACACCTAAATATGGGATTTACTATTGATATAGAGAAAGAATTAAATTAACTATTCAATTCTTACCTATTACTACTGTAGGGTAATTGAGAATAGGGAATTTTATATACCTGAGTTCAAAAATAAGTGAGTTATGAAGAACCCTAGAATTTTCCATTGCCTGCGTGAGTATCTCGCTGAAACGGCTTCTGTTTCTTGAACAGAAAGTCGACTCCTATCTTTCAATGGCATTTACGCCTTTGTCTGCCAAGAGTCCTTTATGGGCTTAAGGCTCACGTGCCCTTTTCCTTTTAGTTCTCTTTTTTTCTTTTTTTCTTTTTTTGTTTTGTTTCTTTTTTTTTTTTGACTTAACTAGTATTTAATTATGCCTACTTTTAATAATTAATAATACTAAAGTTATTAATATTTCCCTAATTGTATATCCAATTATTTATAAATAGAGAAGTAACTTAAAATTAATCATACGGGTTTAAATCCGTAATAGAAGTATAATTTAAGTTTTTTTTAAAAAAAAAAAAATTAAGTTCCATATTTAGCGTGTCTTGAAACTTTTATAAATTTGAGGAGTGTTACACTATATGCGCTGCTTGAAATTAAAAGACGAAGAGAGATTGATAATAGAGATATGTAGAAAGAAGATATAGTAGTATTGCACGTTTAGTAACAAGGATAGTCCATATATTATTATTGCAAGACAGTGGAGTTGGACACAATTATTAAAACATAAACAAAACGACGAGAAGGAAGGAAGGAAAGATGATCAAATTAAGACAACATTCAGCCATCAAGTTTTGAAGGAGTTGAGCTAATTATATATGTCCAGTGTAAGCCGAGCACATCATCTGACCAAAAAAACTATCAGGGGAGCAATTCCTACAAACCCAACCATCAGAGCAGTCAGCGGCAGACGTGCATACTCTCCAGCAAGTCAGATCATTTGGATGTGAAACTAGTTTCCTTCTTAAGTACTCATGAATCAGGTCTCGAGCCGTTGCTTTTGTTAATGGAGACGAAGCAAGATACACTGCATGCGACAATTCAACATCAAGAGAAGTATATATGTAGATATGCATAAAGTAGATATATGCATGCACCTAATATAAAAACTATATAGTACTAATATTAGATCTAAAAGCCAACATATGTATAGTAGATTAGAGAGATTGACTAACCACTAGTCATCATGACGACAACCGTGAAGAAAACAGCAAACTTCTGAGCCATAATCATTATGCGAAATAGTACTCTTTCTATCTTAGAAATGGAAAGATATAAGGTAAGTGTTGTCACCAAATATCACAATATATATATATATATATATATATATAGGCGTTCCTCTTGGATCTCAAACCTTAGTTTTCCCCCTCTTTAGCTCTAGTTACGTATCACTTGACAATTTTTTAACAGGTTTTAGGTTTAGTGCTCGGAAAGAAATAAACAAATAAAGTTTTTACTTTTTTGAAAATAACGTTAGCATTATATTTGATACTACTTAGGCTAGATGGTGGCTTAAGTGTAATCTCAGTAAATGAGCTTATTTAGATTGGATTTGAATTATTATTTATTTAATCCGAAAACCAAATATCCTAACCAAAACTTTCATATTCAATCCAAACTATCCGAACGCCCATCCCTAATAACTTATCTTCCTTACCTTAAATATTACTTAACTTAGTCTAGAAGAACACAACTTGGTGAAAAAAATATAAGAACACAACTTAAATGTAACTAGATTTAACTACTGAAATCTGGAATCCCAAATTAGTCCTAACATAATTCAAAATCTATCATAGAATACGTAACATGGAGGAAATTGTACTCTTTCCATTCTTATTTACGTGAAGGTGTTTGACTAAGTACAGAATTTAAAAAAGAAATAAATACTTTTGGAACTTGTGGTTTAAAATAAGCTAAAAATATTTGTGTTATTATGAATCTTTAACGTTAAATTATTTTTGAATATAAAAAAATATTATTTTTTTGGGGTCAAACTAATAAAAAAAGAGTGTGAGATAATTATTTAGGACAGAGAGAGTAGAACATTAAAATATTCATTACTCCTCAAGTCTTTAAAATGGAACGAAACATTACATATCAAATATATACAAGAACTATTTGATGAGCTCCGCCCATATATCAAATGATGGGCGGGGCTCATCAAAATAATAGTTCAGCTAAAACTCCATTAATTTTGCGTGACTTAATTCATACATTAAGTGATAATTTATTTCATTGAGTGTACGAGGTTCTCAAGGAAAGGCATTACTACGTCAATGTTTTCATTTTAAATAAAATAGGGTCTTATTATTCAATGGATTTATTGATTACTCTTCCATGACCCTCACGTTAAGGATCTAAAGTTATTATTTTAGTTTCTTCTCCGCGAGCTTGGCACATGTGCGAGGCCGTTGACTATTTCGGAGTAATTTTATAACTGTCAGAATAATTAAATCGATGGTAGAAATGAGTCGCAAAAAAATAAAAATAAAAATTTACTTCTTCCATCTCAATTTATATGAAGGTGTTTGACTATAGATCCATAATTTAAGAAATAAAGCAAGACTTTGAAATTTATGGTCTAAAATAAATCATTGGATGAAAAGAGAAATTTAAAATTGAATTGTTGTTAAAATGGATGTAGCTCTTTTTAGAACTGACTAAAAAAAGATAGTGTCACGTGATTAGAATGGAGGGAGTGATATATATATTGCGTAACAGGTCATGAAACTTGCACTTCTACAAAAATAATTAAATAAAATAATTTGCTAATTAAGTAACAAATATGATTTGTTATTAGTTGGATTAATCACTATTCTCCATGTTATTCAGAAAAAAGAAGAAGGTACTACACAGTAAGCCTTGTTTAGGTCGTCTAAGATAAGCAAGTTAAATCCGCATTGATGCACCGACGACTTTTAAAGAAGTAAAATGATTCCAGTATATGTTATTATTTAAATTTCAGTAGAATGCTTGGAAAACACAAAACTTAAATAACTAGTCCACTTAAAATAATTAAATTTCTAAAAATCATATGGAAAGAGAAGATATTATATACTTTGGTTCATGATCCATAATTAAATAACTAGTCCACCCCCAATCTACGCATGCATTTGTGATAGCAACTCATTTTTCTATTTCCTTTTCTCGAAAGTTATTTGACTCTTACGTACATTTCATTTCCGTTTAATTAAGTTAATTACTACTTATAAAACTACAATTTAGAGCTTTTCCATTTAACTTATCATTTTATTTGGGTTGGATGTTTTTTTCCCTAACAATAACGTTAAACCCATTTAAGAAATCACGGTAGTACTAAAGTTTTCTTTTTCATGATTTGTTAAGAAATCACGGTAGTACTAAAGTTTTCTTTTTCATGATTTGTAACGACCCAACCGGTCGTTTTGAACATTTGCATTTCGTTCAGCTGTTTGAAGTCTTGAGTAGGTTCATATGATGTATTATGACTTGTGTCAATCGTTGGTTTTGGTTTTCAGGTGATTCAGGATCGATTCGGAAGAAGGATTCTAATGTTAGAAGCTTTGAGTTGGAAGAGTTGGCCAAGTTTGACTTTCGCGTATTTGATCCCGGATCGCAGTGTTGATGGTTCCGTTAGGTCTGGGTGGTGATTTTTGACTTGGGCGTATGCCCAGATTTGCATTTGGATGCTTCTTGAAGGTTTTAGCGTTAATTGGCGAAAGTTGGCAATTGAAGTTTTGGAATGTTCATAAGTTTGACTAGAAGTTGACTTTGATGATATCAGGTTCGGATTTTGGTTCCAACAGTTGGAATAGGTTCATTATGTCATTTGGAACTGGTGTGCAAAATTTGAGGTCATTCCGAGTTGATTTGATATGGCTCGGCACGAGTTTTGGAAGTTGAAAGTTCAAAAAGTTTATTTAGCTCGATTGAGGTGCGATTCATAGGTGATTTTGTTATGTGGGATTTGAGGCCTCTAGTAGGTCCGTATTATATTTTGGGACTTGTTGGTATGTTCGGACGGGGCCCCGAGGGGCTCGGGTGAGTACCGGGGTGGTTTTAGATCATTCTGAGTTGGCTTGGAGTTGCTGGTTGCTGATGTCTCTGTTGTTCTTTGCGATCGCATAGTGATTTATAGAACTGGCGGATTTTCGTCAACGCATTCGCGACAAGCCGACCGCGTTCGCATAGACTTGGGGCAAGTCTTTTACGCATTTGCGTATGAGAGATCGTGGTCGTGTAGTGTGAGCTGGGAGCTGGAGCTAGAGGCCTTCTTCATCATGTTTGTATAGTTGGAGCCGCGTTCGCAAAGTTCTGAGCCAGCTGTGAGTCGCATTCGCGAGGAGTGTACTGCGAACACGAAGTGTAATCTAGTGGCAGTCGTGTCTGTGCTACACGACCGCGAAGGTATTCTCGCGATCGCGATGAGTATTGCTGGAGCAGTGTTATAAAGTACTCTATTTCGAAGGTTTCAGATATTTTATCATATTTTATGCTATGGAGCTCGGATTTGGACGATTTTGGAGGCGATTTTTATCACATGGATTGGGGTAAATGTTTTTACTCGGTTTTGATTATATTTTCTAATTCCATCTTCGTTTTTGGTATTTGATTCATGATTTCAAAATAGAAATTGGAGGTTTTTGTCTAAACTTTCCTAAAGTAATTTTTTTAGTTTTGAGCATCGATTCGGAGTCGAATTTGAGTGAAATTAGTATGGCTGGACTCGTAATTTAATGGGTTCTTGAATTTTATGAGCTTGGTCGGGTTTCGAGGTGTGCTTTGAGTAAATGTGGAAAGATTTAACTTTTATCGATTGGGTTGCTTCCTATGACCTTATTTGATGATTTTGAGTTACTTTTGGTTAGTTTCGAGCCGTTTGGAGGATGATTTGAGTGGCATGGCACTTCTAGGGTATCGACTTGTTTGAGGTAAGTGTCTTGCCTAACTTTGTTGAGAAAATTTTTCCTACTAATTGCCAGTATTATCTACATGCGGGGGTGATACATATATGAGGTGACGAGCGTATATGTGTGTGTTAGGGTTAATCATGCTCGGGGGTATTATACTATAAATTGCGCCTTGTAGAATTACATGACTTTCTTACTTCATGTCTTACTTGACTTCTAGATTACTAAGAATATGGAATTAAATGTTAGAAACCAAGATCTCGTTTATTATAACTTGATTAAAATTTGATGAAATTTTGAGAAACATTGATGTGTCTAGATCGGTCATTATTATGCTTAATCACCA